ACAGGTGTTCAAAAGCTTTTTCTGTTGTGGCGTGAGATTGGGATAAAGTCGATCATTACATTTCGTATCGTGTGTTTTTTTCTGTGTGAAGCAACAAAAAGTGCCAGCGACTGACGAAATTACAGGTTAAGACGAAAATCAAACACTTAAGCAAATAATTTTGGCTACCGATTTTCAGTGAATTTTTAAAGAACAATTCTCTCTCAAGTTTCAAGACAATTTGAAGATTCAAAATAAATATTACGTACTAAATGCGAAAGTTATGCACCACAAAATCGATAAATAGGCCTGAAATGAAATTGTATCTTGTTCTTGATTATTACGTTGCTTAGCGCGTGACCAAAATCTACCCAGGTGGACATCCAAAATGATGGTGGCAGTCTGGGCTTAGTTATGTCACTACAACTTTGCCAAATTTCTTCAGGCATATTAAAATTCAATAAACGTATGAGAGCCAAGCCAAAAATCAGAGCAATTGCCCGCCTCTAACCACCTCAAAAGCCTGCTCAATTTCTGACATTTGCTCATCATCTGCCATGGACACATGATGTGGACCAAAGATGTCGATCAGAAGCCATCGATTAACAGGGTTGTCTGCCCAGGGTTTTTTTTCTGGGGACTTCAATATGCAAATGAGTCACTCACTCGCTAAGAAATCTTCAGAGGTTTGTTATCAAATGTAAGTGGGAGACAGAGAAAACCTTGACACTTGTTTGGAGTTCTTTTTTCATATTTTCCCTCAAAGCTTTGCCTCTCAGCAAAATATTTATTCTTCTGTCAGCTGTGGACGTTACCAGTCACGCAAAGGTGTTTGTTCACTAATTATTTGTTCACACAATAACATCAGTAGATTTCTTTTACATACTCTTCTCTTTGTGCTTACTATTCTTTCTCTGTGGTGCTGATGTGGAGGATTTGCTGAACTATCAAGAGTTTCTTTAGTTGGCAATCGTTTCCTTTATTCTGTTGACCTTAATGTTTGATACTGTGGTGATATTGACCAAAGAAATAAGTCACTCATAGTAGTAAGAAATTTAAACTGTGGCTTTTTCCTTTCATGGATGAGCTAAAGGTTATTAATTTTTTTAATGTCTCTTTCACAGATGTTCTCCATGCAATTGCTGTAAAAGCCAATCCTGTTTCAGCTATGCTAAAGATTATTCTTAAAAAGGCATGTAACTAAAATTTGCTCTTCAATTCCATCCTCATAAAACATTACTCCAAAGAAGTAAGTTCATTTAGGGGTGTAGCTTGGAAAGGGGGAGAGGAATTGGCTTCCCATAATTCTCCCTTTGAGGAGAAAAAAACTTTAATCGGGGTGGTGAAGACTTGTCAATCTGAAAAAGCTGTATTACATATTAAGATCTTTTTCAAATCTAGAAACCCAATTTGTTGTTTGACTCCTTGCCATATGAATACGAACCTGCTTACATTCAAGGACAAGCAGTGCTAAAACTAAATCATATAAGATGTACAGAAATTGTTAACAACATACCCCCCTTTCAACAATTTTTTTATCTTTTGCACCCAGTGACTACTCTGAACCCTCTATAACCCAACCTCAGCTGTGGATATTCCCCATACTGTTCTCTGTACATTTCTCTCTCTACTGACAGAAGAATTTGTCTATCAATCAATAGTTGTGTTTGAGTTGTTGGTCATTTCCCTTATTCTAGTGACCCTAACCATTTACACCCTAAATTCAGTATGCATATTCTCCATACTGTTCTGCAAATTCCCAGGGAACTGACAAGGAGAATTTGATTTACAATCAAGAACTTCTTCAGCTGTTGATCTCTCGTGACCTTACTGTTTGATTCATAGGTGATATTTTAGGGAGAAATTAGATGATAGTCACTCTCAGGCAAGAGTGACAAAAGGGTTCATTTTTTATTTAGTATTGATACTGTAAAGAGAAGTTTGATGTTAATCATTCTTGGAGGTTGTGTTAATGTATACACCCCTAGAATACCAGAAGCCAATTTGTGTTATCATTTATCTAGGGTCATGGTCTTGAGTGTGCTTCAATCACAGAAGTGCTACACGGCATGGATCTTGGATTTCCTCCTGAGAAAATTGTGTTTGACTCACCTGTGAAAACAGAGCCAGAATTGAGTATGACTACTATTGAATATTATCTGAAAGACTAACCAGTAATCTTGTTAATTGATATGAGACCATTGCAAAGAGGCTTTACATTGTATGTAGTAGCATTAAAAATATGTATAGTTTTTATTGAGATAAATTTCATTTTGAACTGTGGATGAAATTCAAGTGCAGTAATGATCCCTGCAAGTGGGCTGTAAATTAACCCTTTAACCCCCATGATCTGATTGTTAATTCTCCCCCCTAGCTGCCACACATTTACATGTAAATTAATTATGAGAATTTGCTGTTAGATCAAGATAACAACTTCTACCTGTTAAGTTTGAATATTCTCTTTACCTGTTTGCTGGATAATGTAAGGATATTAT